GCAGCCGGCAGCCCCGGCGCGGCGCAGCCATGGGCAAGGACCAGGAGCTGGTGCAGGCGGTGAAGGCGGAGGACATCGCGGCCGTGCAGAAGCTGCTGCAGAGGCCCAAGCCCGGCAAAGCCAGTGAGTGCGGCGGCGGCGGGGCCGGGCCGGGGGCGGCGGTGCGGGGGGACACACGGAGGGGGGGCACACACGGGCACCGGCGTCGCAGCAGCGGGCGCGGCGGCTCGGGGCCGCATCCCAGAGCTGCTCCCGGGGCCCGGTCGGGATGCCGCCCTGCCTGCCCCGGAGCATCCCCGGCCCTTCCCTGGCTGCGGCTCGTCGCAGGCGGGCGGGGACCGTAGACGTGCTGGGGACCCYCCAGCGCTCCGGGAGGGGCGGGGTGGGGGTGCTGCCCGGCGTGGGTCTGAGCGTCCCGGCGGGGCTCGGAGCATCCCCGGGCGCTGCGCGGGTGCGGGGCGCTGCAAAGGRTCGCCCCGCCGGTCCCGGGGCACCCCCGACGCGGTCGGGCTCCGGCCGGGCTGCCCTTGCCCTGCACCCGGGAGCAACTCCCGAGCCCGCGGGAGCCGGGCCCGGTGCCCGCGGGGGTTTGGGCAGGGTCTGCGGCCGGGCAGCGCCGGGCGCATTTGCGTGTGCGTGCAGCGAGTGTGGCCGGCCCGCCGGGTGAGCGCCGGGGCTCGCAGCCCGCACACCTCTGCGTGTGTCCGCGCTGCCGCGGGTGCGTGTGCGGCTGTGTTTGGGTGCGTGGGGTGTTTGCGTGGCGGTGTGTACCCTGGCATCTGTGTGTTTGGCTGGGCTGTTGGTGTTCCTCGCTGTGGGGGTGTTTGGATGTCGCTCCGCGGGTATCTCCCGGTGCATCCCTGCGGCTGGCTGTGCACGGCTCCGCGGGTGCGTGGCCAGGTGTGAGGCTGCGGGGGCGTGCGTGTGGTGTGGCTGTGCGTGTGTGTCTCCGGGTGTACGTGTGTGTAGCTCCATGAGTATCTACTCGCTGTAGGATGTAACTGCTCCGTCGAGGCGTTCCGCCCGGGACTGAATAATTCATGGTGCTGATGCAGCCGCAGGTTCCAGGCCTGGTGCGTGGGGAYGGACTGGGGGGCCGGGGATCGTCCTGGGTGTGGACAGGGACCACGGGAAGCACTCATGTGGCACCRGCTCACTGGACACGCAGTCCCTTCATTGCTGTGCCCACTGTCCCTCTCCCCAGGGCCAGCACCCCCCAAATGAGGGCAGCCCCCTTTCGCTGGAGCTGTGCAGGACTGTGAGGTGCTYCCTGTCCCTGGTCAAGCAGGGCTGTTTCTGGTCAAGCAGGGCCAGCGTGGTGTCTCATGTCCTGGTGCTGARCAGGGTTGGCATGGCATCCCCCGTGTCCCTGCTCTGGTGAGGCATCCTCCATGTCCACGATGCCACATAGGGCCAGCGTGTGTTTTTCATGCCATGTAGGGCTGATGTGGTGTCCCCCATGTCCCCAGTGCCATCATTGTCACTGCTGAGGGACTGTGCAGGGCAGGAAGAGCCTCCAGCTCAGAGCCCATTTCATCCCGACCCACTCCAGGTGCTGCAGCTGYTGTGGCCTCTCGGGGCAGCGTSTGGGTGTGGGGACAACACCTGGCCTGTGCCCAGCAGTGTCCCCACACACTTCTCCCAGTCCCTGCTGGCCTGGGCACACAGCTGGCGTTGCTGTGGCAACGGCCAGAGGTGCCCAAGTGCCACCACCTTCTCCTGCATCCCTGTCCTTTCCAGTGGCTCTGCTGCAGCTCCCACTGCTGAGCCCTCCAGATAGCAGGAGACAGCAGTGCTACCTGTGCCAGGATCACAGATTAGGGACAAGGGGAGAGAGAATGGTCTTGGGGAGATTCCTGCTGTAGGCAGGCTCACCCCATTCCCTTGCTGGGCTCCCATCTCCAGCTCTGCCGGACCCACCAGTGCCAGTGCCAGGCTCCTCTGGGGACATTCCCCCAAAAGCGGGTGCCACGTGTGTGGCAGTGGGTGCTGCACTCCCAGCCTGGGGTGCACAAGTACCTGTGGCCATGGCAGGGGGCTGGAGCGGCACACAGAGTGGGAGAGCACCCAGCAGGGCTGTCCCCACGCCGTGGTGTCCCCCTGTCCCCTCCAAGTTCCGGTCCCACACATGCCTGCGCTGCTCCCCGCACTGCACGGCACCAGGAAGATTTGTAACTTAGCCCTGTTATCTGGATAATATCCTATTCATGTGGGGTTTAATAAATGAGATTTTAAAAATCCTTGCGTGAATTAGCGCGGGTTGCTATGGTGACATGGGGCCCGGTTTGGTGTGAGTGCGGGTTCGGGGGCCCGGGCCGGCCGCAGCGCGCACCGCGCCTGCTTCCCGGGCATCCATAATTGATGAGGTTGTCTGAAAGTTGCGCAAATCAGATGCAGGGATTTGGCAGCAAACTGTTTCCCTCCCTGTCCCCTCCTTCCTGGTGCTA